AGAGAGCCAGCAAAGAAGAGCTTTTAAAGAAATATATGGTGGTGGTGGTGGTGGTAAGAAGGTGTGCATGTGTGTCTATGTGTAGGGTGTGTGTGTGTGTGTGTGTGTGTGTACAGGCTGAGGACTGCCACACTTCCCAATGTGCTGGCTCGGGAGATCCTCTATTATATAAAAGTACAGACAGCCCCCACCCCCACCCTTGAGCTTAAAGATGAAGAATCCAGCCTGTTTGTTCCAGGCAGATGTAATCACACGAACAGTCAAGTCTAGAGGGCAGGACACTGCATGAATAATTCAAGCACTCCAGTCACTTGATTGTGTGTGCAGATAAAACACCAGTCAACCGCTAAACAGGTCAGCTGATAAACTTGTTTGCTCAGGCCTAACCACCATCCGCCAAATGCACCCAAGACCCACACTACAATTAGTGGCCGGGTTTTCTGCTGCAGAACCCTTGCAAGCCTAGGGTGTGGACAGCCCCATTAGGTCAGGGTTGCATTTCTCAGCGAAGGTTTCTTCACCTCCTTGCCTCTTTGTTCCTACACAGCCACAGGGCGATTTCACCCAACTCAGAGATTGCCATAAACCCTGCAAAGGCACTGCATTCAGAGCACACACATTCATGCTGGGAAGCAAATGGGAGCTGAGGCTGGAAGGCAAAGGTGAGGAGCAGGTGGGGTAAAGCGCCCAGTTTGGGAATCCAGAGGCGCGGGCTTGAGTTCCAGCTCCGCCCTCCTGGCCTCCCTGAAGCCTCAGTTTCCTCGTCTATAAAAAGGGGGCAAAAAATCCATTTATCTGCCTCTGGCAGCTGAAAGGATTAAATGAGACGGTGTAGCCAAACCTCAGGCATTCTCCCCCTAAGAACCCTGTTTGGGGAATGGCCAGAAGTCCCAGATGCACACAGCTGCTCTTGATGCAAACCCCACCACCAAATGCGTTAAGATGGTTAACTCTTCCTGGGTTCAGAGCGCCCCCAGGACTCCGGGAACAGCTTTGCTCCACCAGCCAAGGTGCATTCTTTGTGCCACAGAACCATACATTCACAGACATGGTGAACACCACCCATGCAGACCTCAACATGCAACGACATATTACACCTTAATTATGAAGCTCTTAGAATAACTGCTGCTATAAATTGTCAACCTAGGTGCAATTACCCTCTTTAAACACACCCAAGATACTAAGCGCTGAGAAAAAAAGGGGGGGTGGAGAAAGGAAGGGGGTGGCACCTTGCATGACACCCCAAGGTCCTTGAACACCTGGGACCGCAGTTCCACTTCATGCATTCTTACTGGACGAGTCAGATCTGGTCAGTTCCGCCAAAAGTTGGGCAGAGCCTGTCTCTAGCCCATTCTCCCGAGGAGAAGCATCTTTACGTACAAAGCAGTGTCTGTTCGTGATTTCTGTGGGTCAAGCAGTAAAAACCTGGTAGCCTTCATGTGCCTCCCTAAGAAGCTAATCCCTCAGGAAGCCACAAGCTGGCTTCCCACATTGCTCAATAAACTCAGGCCCCTTTCTGGCTGCCCTTCGTCCAACACTGGGGCTAGGAGGGCAAAGGAAACTACACGTTCAAAAGGCTCTATACGAAGCCACTGGAGCGGGCAGGAATCTACAAGCATTCCAGGGGTCACCTGCCCTTCTCACCTGCCCTGGGTCCTGCCCCCTTAAAGAGCAAAATTTAAACCTTGTAAACGACTGTTAATTTAGAGCAGAAAATCCATTCAAGTCACGGTCACCAAAGGCTAGAATGAGTCAACAGCCTTCTGAGATTTCAAGAACACCAATTGTTAAAAAGAACAACCGGCCTGCACCATTTATCCATGCCAAGTCAACTCTAACCGCCGGCCAAGCCAAATTATAGGCAGCCTCTCCTCGGAACACAAATACACAAACAGGCCTCTCCCACAGCCCAGCCCAGCACCCGGACTAGTTACTGATAGGCACTGAGATAAAGGGTGTTTGTATTTGCTCGGTTTGAGGTATACTGTTATTAGAAGACTGACAATAGGAGGTAGTTTACATATCCATCAAACACCACCACACCAGCTAAACTGGTTTGACTTCAGGATTTCAACGCTGAGCTCAACTCCCAGCCATCTCAGAAGTCCTGGCTAGGCTGCCCCTGGGCAAGTTCCTTCAGCTTCCTTCCCTGTAAAATGGGAACGCAGATGCCTACAGATTAAGACAGCGACGAGAAAGCAGCCTGAGAAATGCAAGCCATGAGGGCTGTACTTCATTCCGGCTTTATATTTTTAAGCAGTTAGTGCCTTGTTCCCTTAAATTTTGACAGCTCAGCGTGGCTTTTAAGACGCTTAAAGTTTAACCTTATCAAGGCAGAACATCACATTTTTGCGTGAGCACAACACACACACACACACACACACACACTCCTCCTGCATTTCCTCTTGAGAATTTTACATTGAAACAAATAAAAGCAGCCCACCACCTCTGGGTTTCAGGAGTTTGTAAAGATCCTGAAGGTACAACTTTGCCTTTGCTCTTTTTGACTAACTTCACAAGCTCAATGCTGAAAGCTCACCATGTCCGAGAAATCAGCAAAGCCTCAGACCCTGCATTCCAAGGACGTGATCCATTCACTCCTCAAGGAGAAGTAAGAGAAACAGAACTAGGCTCATTTTTAAACAGGAGGGGCCATACGAAATCCACGTATTATTTAAGTTTTAAAAATCAGTTCTCTCTTTAAAGAGAAAAGCACTTACCTGCTTGTGCATTTCAATGTTCAAGCCATAGGACATCTCATAGTACTAAAAGTAAAAAAGAATTGCCATTAACAGACAACACAGAAACCTGTTCGTTTTCCAAAATCAGCTATTGGGAAGATTTTCACCAAATCGTACTTTGGTGAACCGTTTGCTCAAGTTTAAATCAAACCCCAAAGCCAGCTATTGAGGAGTTTAAGAGCTGACAATGGGCAAGTGTTCTTCTCATCTCAACAGAACATTCTATATACAGGAGGAAGAATAGCTGGGCCCTCCCTCCCACAAGCACCACATTTGCCATGTATCCTGTTTATACAAGGTTTGGGTTCAACAGGGAATCGTGTGTACACTGGGACCCTCTTGTCCTGAGAGTTATTTAGCAATGTGTCGAAGGCCTCTTATGTGGAAAGCAGTGTAGGAGCTGCACTTAAGTGCCTCCCACGCCCTCTCACAGACGCAAGATTTAAACTTGCAAGAACAGACACTGGAAAAGGGGAGATGGTCTACCTACTGCCCCAAGGTGACAAGATTCTCAGTTGGGGGATCCCTGAGGAGAGCAACGGAGGCAGAAGACTTTAAAAGGCTCCCCCACTCTCAGAAAACCCTGGAGAAGGAAAGGGGTGGTGGAGAGGGCTCGTCCCACTCTGCCTAGATCCAGGGCTGCAAAGCGGCGAAGTTTCCGAACACTCCCAGGAGGTCTCTAAAAGAGATTTTCATCCAGTCCCGACGTGGGCTGATCCAATCCTATCTAGCTAACCAAGACAGGCAACCAATCCTCTGGGAAACCTTCAAAACACAACTCAGAGGGGCACAAAGGCAGAAGGGCTGGCCTGGGGTTTGGTTTCTCCTTCTGTTCCTCCTCTCATCCACCCTCCTCCAAGTGGTCAGGGCTAAGGGAGGCTGGTGCAGAGTCGGAGGGCAATCAGATTCACCCGCTCCCAGGGCTGCTCTGGGGCGGGCCGAGGTGGGGACCCGGCTCCAGTCTCCCCAGACCCCCGCCGGCCCCCGCGGGGCCGCATCTCACCATAACATAATGGCGCTGCATCTCCGTCTTCTCGTTCGCCAGCTTGTCGTACTCCACTTTGAGGCTGCGAGGGCAGAAGGAGCCGGCTCAGGCCTGGCGCCTGCACAGCCTCCTCCGAGGCCTCAACCCAAAGGCCTCTGAGAGCCGTTTTCCACTTTCCTGACAGCCCCCGGGGGTTACCCCATTATCCCGCAGCCTCGGCGCGGAGGGGGCCTTGGGTCCTCGCCACCGGAAGAGGAGTGAAACAACTTGAAACTTCCAGCGGCCGAGCGAGTGGATCTATCACGGCCGCGGGGGGCGGCACCCCGGCGCAGGCTCCCGACCCCCAGCCCCACAGCGAGCCTGCTGGCGACCCCGACCCTCACCCCGGGGGCCCCGGGGGCGGCGCGAGGAGCCAGGAGGCTGCAGGCAGCAAAGGGTTAAGGCGCCGCGCACGGAAAGGGGAAACAAAAGGCGGAGGCCCTGGCTGCCCCGCCGCCCCGGGGTCGGGAGCCCCCTCCGTCCCCGCAGGGGATGGCATGAGCCGCGGCGGGGACGCCCCCTCCCCGCCAGCCCCGGGGCGGCCCCCACCGGCCTTACCTGTGATATTGAGCTTGGAGGAACTGGAATTCGTCTTTGATCCTGTCGCAAGACTCAGCCACCGTGAATTTAAATCCCGGCTGCCCGGGTTGATGGGGAGCCTGGAGCCCGCGAAGACAAGACAGGGGAGGGAGCGGGGGCGTCAGACGCGGCTCCAAGCTGCCCGGGCCCCTCGGCGGCTTCCCCCGGCCTCCCCCCACCCCTGCCCAACCAGAGAGGCCACCCTCACAGCCCAGAACCTTCCCAGCAAGTTTCTCAGCTCCCCGATGGGGCGGGGGAAGGGGGGCGCCCCAATCGCTCCCTATTGGCCACGGGTCTCCCATCCCTTTCACCAAGGGGCTCCCATTCCCAAGTAAGGCGGGGGCGGGGGAGACCCGCCGGGTGAGTTGGGAGACTTAGGAGAGGGGGCGGGGGGCAGCGTGAAAACAAACAGTTCCCCTGGAACACAGGCAGCCCCCCACGCCACTCGGGCGGAATTAACCTCCTCTCTCAACGGCGCCCGCCCCATCCCCATCCCCATCCCCTTTGTGTGAGTGCGCGCACACACACCACACACACCGTAAAGGTAGCAACAAGCAAAATGGAGGTGCCAGATAAACTGCCTTGTTCACCCTGCCATGATAGATGCTTAAATAAACCGAGTTGCAATTACTCACCGGATGTCTGCCTTGCGGATACATGGCAGGGAGGGGTCGTGATTCCAAGAGCGTGGAAGCGCCGAGAGCCCGGGCCGGGGAGGTGCGGGGGAGGGGGGAGCCAAGCCCGAGCGGGGGGCGGCCGGGAAACCGAGAGCTCGCCCCCGGCCCCCCCAGCCCGCTCTCGCAGCGAAATCCCAGAGTCGGGCGCCCGCCCCAAGTGGAGACAAAGAGCCGTGGAGCAGGCGGCAAAGTCGTCGGCGGGCGCCGAGGCCGGGCGGCGGGCGCGGGCTTTGTGCGCCTAGGGCTCGGCGGGCTGCGGCCGGCCGCCTTC